AAAGAAACGTCACGACGACTTAATGAGCGTTTCTCGGAGCGTTTCCCGAACAAAAAGAACAACTGCGCACCGTAACGCCTTGTGCGCCACATTTCCAGCAAAATAATTGCCTTGGTTCAGGACAATCAACACGATGATGACCTAATTTTTGGCAATTAAAGCAAGGAGAATTTGGAGTTTCCATTGCATAAATAGGTGGACGTGGTGACATTTGTCGACTACTGGTGGGACAGCTAAACCCAGGTTCGAGTAATGGTAATGATGTTCGGTTGCGTAAGGCATGGTGTCTGTCTAAATCATGTTTGATATCGTCAAAACGTCTGCATTCAATTAAAAGTTCATCTAATGTCTGAGGAACATTAGGACCTAATTTAGTCAAATAAAATGGTGATAAATTGCGTTTAATTAAACGGACTTGTTCATATTCTGGAGGTGGTAATTTTAGTCGTGAAAATAAACCCTGCATTACTGCAAAATAAATGTCTACTTTTTCATTCTGACCCTGTAAACGAGCTTTAATTTCGTCGAGCAAATCTTCCTCATAGTGTGGTGGTAGAAATGCATCTCGTAGTAATTGCACTAAGTGCTCCCATGAAGTAGCTTTATGAGAATTAATGTTGTACCAGGTGTTCGCAGTCCCTTCAAATAAATCGTAGGCAGTCTCAAATAAAGTTGGATGATCTACTCCACGAGCACGAGCCATTCGCTCAACTCGGTCGATAAATGAATTCAAAGTTTCACCTCTACTATCCCCGGAAAATTTTAATCCCCATTTATGTACAGGAGTACTCGGTACGGATAATCTTGGTTGTAGTTCTGCAGTACGTCTAGTAGGTGTAGAAGAAACTACAGCAGTTGCTGAAGGCATAATTGAGTCGTTAAAATGAAAAGCTTTGTTATCGAGTGAAGCTCTTAATTGTCGAAATAAACGAACTAATTCCCCAAGTTTACTTAATTGTTCAGCAGAAGGCTGCAATAATGTGCGAGTCCTATGTAAACGTCTGTCGGCATGAGCTAGCATGGTAACAATTGACAAATATGAACCTCCCCCAAAAGCATCATCAAAATTGTCAATCTTATTCTGAAGGATCACTGTCAATTCAGTAAGAGCAGCTAAATCCTGAGCAAAGGTAAAAGGGTACTCTGGAGCAACATAACCAGGTGCTTTCTCTAACTCTAACAATTTTCTGAGAATTAAACGACTTTCGTTCATATTACTCCCCATTTGTCCCGCTCTAATCTCAATTTCATATTGGAGTTCAGTCTCTCTTAATCGGTTAATTTCCATAGCCATGATCACACAATAAATTCAAAATACAAATATAAAAAGATAACACAATATAGGTACCTGTTAAATACCAAGAAATACACAAATATCAGTAATAACCACAAATAAAAAATAAGTTGCAAGTACGAAGTTCAATTTAGAAGAGATAATTTAAAGATAAGGCCAAAAACTTAAATTTAAACAAATTATGCCCAGGCCACACGTTGAAGGGTGTCACTTTATAACACTTCAACACTCAGCAAATCTTCGGATAGGAATAAGTCTATACGTGTTACCTAATGTTTGACAATACGCATTTTGTTGATGCAATACTTAATTAGAACACTTTAGTGTTCGTTTCTTTGTAACCTCAAAAAGTGTATCAGTCAGTGGCGGATTTATATCGGGTAATCAAAAAGAACTGCAGGCAGTTTAAATTGGACGCTTTAAGTTTTTAATGTTTTTTACTTAAGGAATTGGCAAACATGTTTAGAAGGTAGTTTATTTATGTATTAGTGATTAAATTGATCCACCACTGCTTTTACATAAATGACATTTGGTATGTTACCAACGTTATACATGTTTAGTTTTACGGAAAATTCAAACTGTCCGCACTACTTTTTGATCACCCGGTACTTTTGCCGCCCAGAGGCTTTGGGAAACTTGCCGCCCCTAGATCATTCTTACCACAAAAATAGCCCACAACTTCATAAATCCTATGGCTAAACACTAAAATCGCAATCTAAGAGAGTTTATTGGTTCGTGGACTATTCGACTACAGAACAAATGCTTATAAGTAATAAGTATTTTTATTTGATTATTCAACAATTTATTGGATTTATCAAAACAATTTTCCGCCCCCCCCCCAAATTTGCCGCCCCCCAAAATTTGCCGCCCTGGGTCCGTGCCCTTAGTGTCCCCCTCTAAATCCGCCTCTGGTATCAGTGCCGTACCGATCTAGCGTACCGAATTTCATTAAATTAAGTGAGCTTCTCGGTCACAATATTTACTCAAGCTGCCGGACTTAGAAAAAGACACGCGATAAAATCAGCTCCGCTTGTGTATAGTATCCGATGTTAATTATACTTTGTTTTAACTATACGGACGAGCGTGTCTAGCTGTAAAACGGAAACTCGGAATTTAATTTAATTTAGCGCCATCGGAGTCGGGCACTGGGACTTTTATGGTGACATAAAAGACCTGCCATCCTTTGTAAGTGAAAACCGAATAGGAGATTATTTAAAATTTTAATTACGTCCCTCTGTCTTTCCATTTATTGGTCGTTTTTCATTAGTACGATTTCGTATTGTTCAATTTTTCAAACGTTCGATCTAATAGTATTTTACATTCTCGGCAAGCATTTATGTATTTATTAGCAAAAGGAGAGTTCTATTGAAATCTGTTGGCACGGTTACCTTGCATATACGAGTATATTTCTAAAATATCTTGATGGAATTCTGCAATGTGCCACATTTGCATTTACATCACACAATTGACATGAGTCCACAATATTTATTTTAAAAGCTACAACGTCTTTGGTTTCAATCATAGTCAGCCATGGAATTATTTCCATAAGAAATACATTGTAAACTTCGAGGCAAAAATGATTCCCAAATGAAATACCTACTAAAGTGTTTAGTATCACTGGTCTTCTAATTTTCTCTATCGAGTGAGTGAGTAAAAATGCAATATGGTGTCCATTTAAAATAAGGAAGTTGATGTCAATATCCCGAAAACCTCCATTTTTTCTCCGTCCATTGAATTTATCTTATCGAATCTTCGATCTTTTATTGGAAACTTTTTTCGATAGCTCTCTTTGTTACTAAAATATTTGAACTTTTTAAAAATGGCTATTTTCACTTTTTTCCAATTACCTATATCTACGAAACGAATTATTTTTTTCAAATTATCGCATCGGAATATCCATCAGCATCAAAAACTAAATAACTATGCCAATTTAACCGAATCTGTAAGTATAAAATTAACAAAGAGCCATGCTATCCTACTTAATTTATGACAATCTGTATGTTCTTATTTGCCCATCCAATATCCATCCCAGAACCTTCGACAAACAGGGAAATGTACTTATGGGGAGCAGACCAGAATAACTTTCTGGTGTTTAATTTTTGGTAGAGGTATTATTTTGATTTTTTTTCCGGCATCAGGAAAAGTACACGTACTAATACACTGATTGGTAATGTGCGCTATTACGTTAGATAGATGTGGAAGCACAAACATTGGCATGTGGAGACCAATAAGATCTTCCCTCACAATATTGAAGTTCAGTTGGTATTTCGTGGCTGGTTTTCGTGCTGTATATGACTACTTTCCGTAACTCTAACCATAATAGCTTTGGAATGGGGGAACCTCCAAGAAAGATTTTTTTCTGACCTAATAGCACACGTGGTATAATTTCAGAATCTTTTATAATACTCCCAATGACTGACTCTCCGGTGTCCCTTTATAGCTTGTGGATTGCAGGTCCTCATCACATTTCACATACCGGCATTATAGCTCAGTGGTATAGAGCGTTGAGGTATAAATCCGGAGGTCGGGTGTTCGAACCTGGTTTGAGGTGAATTTTTCATCTGTGGCAGAGATGGGAATTTCCTTAGATCAGTTTCGAGCATTCTGCCGGCTACTCCGAATTAGGTTTTCCTGCAGTTTTCCTAATTCGTAAGGTAAATACCGGAGTAGTATAGAACAACTTAAGACCTTCTGCAGGAGCACCTCTAAAAAAGCATTATGCGGGTCACTCTGTAATTGGGCGTAAGCCTGTTGAGGGCCTAGAACAAGAGGGAGAATAAATAAATAAATAAATAAATAAATTTCGCCTTATTTATATTACTGTAACAGTATGGTAATGGAGTTTGACAAAGCGGACGTATCTGTTGTGTGTCCATAGCCGGAGCTAATAAATTGATCTTCCTAATTTCGAAAGAATGTATATCACCAGTTTCGTTTTACCGTAAAACTTCCTGGGCCTGGGTCTCCCAATGCGGTTTATTTCTTTCATTTTCAATAAGGGTTCATTTACACACCTTTAACGCAGATATATCTTATCACAATCGCCGAAATGCATATTTTTTGCGCGCTATCACACAAAGAGAAATTTCTTCAGCAACGACATGTTAATTTTCCGAATTAAGAAAGAAATCTGCCTTCAAAAAATTTCCCCTTACCCATTAAGTTATTATTATTAAGTTAAATACACCTACAAAATGGCTTCTTATCAACCAAAATCGGACATAATTAAACGTTAATTTGTTCACCAAAATGCCGCCTCACCAATCAAACACGAACTAAGGTGACTCATTTTGCAAATCCCAGGATACTGTTTGTTATCATGCATTGTAACTAAATAGTACTAATGAAGATGAATTACGATAAAAACCTCAGATTTTCTGTCTCCATCGATTTCCGAAAGCAATTAAGAAACAAGCTCAACTTCCAATTTTACCTATTTTTGCGAAAAGATAAGAAAAATTAAATTTACAGCTACAGCCAAGTATAAATTAAAAAACAAGTTAAAAGTACAAATATTTCAAAGTTTGCAATTATTATAAAATGTGTCGATCTACTCATTGACCCCTTCCAACTACTTTATTAGTGTTACATTGTCTTGCGGATGTAATGTTTTGTACGATTACGATTATTGATCCATCCGTCAAAAATTTATAACAATTCTGCACTTAAATAAATAATGCTGCTCAATTCACTTGTTTTGTTTCAGGTTTTCCCTCGGAATTGATCTACAGGGGAACAACAATGTGGGAAACCATATACGGGATGGTCCTAGCCTACCCGATAGTTTGCTATATCTTCGTACCGGTATACTACAGCCTAGGCATCACGTCCGTTTACCAATACTTAGATTTGCGATTCAAATCCCGACTCGTCAGGTGCCTGGCGTCAGGAACGTACATTGTACGACAGTTACTTAATCAAGGCGTGACTGTTTTCACACCCTGCGTAGCTTTGAACTCCGTCATCGGTTTACCCTACTGGGCCTCGATATTTGGAATAACCGTCGTTAGCGTTATTTTTACTATTTTGGTGAGTACCTTATCTTAAAAGTGAATGTATTGATTTATAATCACACATTGCCTGCTAAAAATGTAGCTGCGATCAATCTTCATTATCCGTATGTCAGTAGAGTTTCACGGGGCACATTAATCACGCGTCACTTAGAGTAAAGCCATATTCAATTTTCGGTAATACATTTGTAATTTGCGAGCACGCTGAAGATACGACGAAGGTGAAAACAGAACATTTATCATATCGGGATAATGTCTATACAAAACAAATTTATTTTGGGCTGGGATGGTAGGCACTTTAATTCGCGTTGCATGCATTACAAGGTTTCCCTCCTTGGGCGCCGTTTCCTGAATTGTGCGTTATAATTAATATTTCGATAGTAGACACTTATCATATTACTAGATGTCGGGTGTAAGTATTGATTAAATATTAATTTGTCTGTCAAATGCATGTACATTTAGATAATAGTCAAATCCGGTTATAGATGAAATGTGAACTAATTGATTCCTGGCGGCATAAAATTGTAATGGTCCTTTCGGTAATAATATCGAGTAGTATTACATTTAAATTGCATTTTGGTGCTACTGGATTTACTTGTCTGGTTTTGTACTAGTACAGTGGAGGTTTTCTCTCGGATACGATACCCATCATTTACGTAGGTACAACTAATTATACAGTTATAACCGTCATTGAATACGCATAGGGTTATTGGAACAGAAAATTACAGAATAATACATAGGTATGTGCTGTGTAATAGGCGTGAAAACAACAACAAAATTCCTAACAACATTATGCTGTATTAACCTTTTAATCGCCACACTTTTGTTGGTGTTCTTGCTTTCTAATTATTAGATTAGACATATACATTTTTCAAATTTTTTTGTCAATAAATTTCCAAAATGGTGACAATGCCGTGTAACAAGAATACACTGCGTTCAATTATTGGACTTTACTCTCAGTGCAAGAATTTTAGGCCCATGGAATAGTAAGGAACAAATTATTTCTATACCTCATTTTACTTATAGTAGGAGAGCTGGTAGACATTTTTGGGTAGGTATTTGAGGCACGCTGAAAACTTATCCAATACTTCTCCAATAATACCCAATTACAGAATTGCAGACCTGGCTGAGAAATAGCGGGGCTAAATCAACCCTTATTACCCTTTACGTAAACTACCAACATTTCGATTGAAATGTAATCTGAAATTGAACAAAAAAAACCTTTTCACTAAAAATTTTTGATTTTATTTTTTACATTACGCACTGGACTACAAAAGATGACATCTTATGCCATATGGTGGTTACAGAAGCTATAAGCACTAACCCCAGTTAAGGATACGCAACCTAGGGACAAAAAAGACACAATAGAAACACTAACGGGGCATAATTTATTTGGCGCGTAGAACTTCGGATTTAAGCATTTAATTAGGTATAAATTAAAAATTCCTTATATCCGTTATAGAGCTTTAATCTTAACGCACAAAACGCGTGTGAACGGATACACAAAACAGACAAATTCAGGTGTGAACCTGGATCTTTCCTTTTGGTATTAACTTAACCTTCGTCCTTAACGTTCGGTTTTTTAACCCGAAATTGAATTACGTACCTACCTTGTTAACGTTGGGATTTGATGTACAAATCAGCATAAATTAATGGATTGAGGAATTTTTGTTTGTTTGAGAAAACAACGTGTATTTTAATGATGAAAGCAAAATATTACAATAATGTGTAACGAGAGATCTCCTGTTCCTACTTTGATGCCGTGGTCTACACCTAACGCCACCTAAATACTATATAAACTAGATCAATGCTAAGTGCATCATTAAGTATGCATGTGCAGTATCAGCAGACCGTATGATCCTCGACGGATTATATGCCCTATCCATAATGTACGAAAGTCGATTCTACAAACCCATTCATCATTCACCTATATAAGGGATACTTTTTAAGGGCGTTTAATTAAAGTTGTTTCAGGACCGTCGACTATCGGCCGATTGTGTGAAAAGTTTTAACTTTCATTCCTTTGAGACTACATGGCGGTTAAACGCAAAACCGAAGGGATAAACTTAGTTGACGAAAACTTGTAGCGTTGCCGCTTTCATGTAGCGGTTGTGAAACACGCCCTTTTCCTTTACAAATATCGTATCGCGTTCAATTTACCCCCGTATATCTATCGTCCTAATTATCTTGGAGCAGTATACTGAAATATGACGGTTAAGTTGCCTTGGGTGGCATACTGCATTAAATTTGTTTAATTATCTCTGTTTATTTACTCATTTGTTTGAATAATTATTTCCAACTTATATACGATTGCGTAGAATGACGAGCCAAATTTCATTAATGTCGCCTTATTAGTGAGTGAAACAGTAAAGGCGAAGGAACAGAACCATATGATTTCCGGAATTTCAATTACAAGAAGTAATCAGGTTGATATATTTCCACCCTTATACTGCATAGCTATACCAAACACTTTTAGTTAACTTATCGAAAATATGGAAAGTCGATAGCAGAATAAAGGATCTAAAACGTGCCCCCATTGTTGATTATAGATACACTACTATATACAGGGTGTTCATTAGAAAACTTCCCACCACGGATTTATCGAAAACCACTGATTAAAGGAAAAAAACGCCGAGACACGTCAACATATTTGTCGAGGGGAACAACTTTTTAACCAAAAACTACTTCACCTCCTTTCACCCTCTGCGTCCCAGGGTCATTCCCTTAAAAATTTTAAATGACAAGTGGTATCGAGTAATAGCTTGATTGAAAGGTCGTTCGAAGTCCTTTATTTTGACGTTTGATTTTTTTAAATCGGTTGATTCGTTTTCTGAAAAAATTGTTATTTAATTTATTTAATCGACCTATCTTAATTTGTGCAGATAGAAAACAAAAACCAAGGAAAATATCACTTATTTCATCGAAAATATCACTTATTTGTTGGTATGGGAAAGAAAGAATTTAGTTTGCTGTCAGTTACCTTTGTGACAATATTGGGATAGTGAAAATTAATTTATTGATTCAGATTTCACTTCGACAATGGTTTACACACTAGCCGAAAGAGTGGAAATTATAATTTATTGTGCCTAAAATCAATGTGCTCGGCAACTTGCCTTCACGTTTAACGCCAGACATCCGAGAAAGTTTTCTATCTGAACAAATTAAGATAGGTTGATTAAATAAATTAAATAAAGATTTTTCTAATTTTCTCGAGAACGAATCGGCCGATTTTAAAAATCAAACGTCAAAATAAAGGACATGGAAAGACCTTTCAAACGAGCTATTACTGGATACCACTTTATATTTAAAATGTTTAAGGGAATGACCCTGGGGGGCAGAGGGAGAAAGAGAGTGAAGTAGTTTTTGGTTAAAAAGTTGTCCCCCTTGACATATCTATTGACGTGCCTCGGCATTTTTTCCTTTAGTCAGTGGTTTTCGATTAATCCGTGGTGGGAAGTTTTCAAATGAACACACTGTATTTAAGTACTATGCGATCAAAAATGAGCTGATGTCGAGTCACCTTTGGAATTTTTGTTTGCATGGGAAATCGTACTTAAATTGAACTTCCAAAGGCGACTCGACAGCAACTCATATTTGATCGCCCGTTACTTGACCCATTGTTAATACCTTTCGGTTATTAGTCTTTTTTGCAAAGGTTTGGAATTAAACGAGGGAAAATACATTTTCAAAAAAAACTGCCCTTTATACGTCATTTAATTTCGACATTTAATCTCGAAAAATTCGGTGTTAACGAACGTCGTGGAGGAACTACACACTTCTGAAGAAATTATGTCACTGTTCACCAAGGCAAATTGTTTAGTAAACAACTTGAGAACACGCTCCCATTATTTCGCCTAAAAAAGAACTCGTCCCCATTATTTCGCCTAAAAAAGAACTCGTCCCCGAGTAAATTATTCATTTCAAGATAAAGCCTGGCCTAGAAATTCTTGCACCTGAATATTCGTCATCGCTTTTTCAAACCCAAAAAAACCGCTGGGCAAATAAAAAAGGAGTACATATTGCTGTGTGCAATGGCAAATGGAAAATTCCAAACTAAACAAATTTTAATTAACACTTCATAAAATTCTTGGGCACGAATAAAAAATCTAACAAGAAAACTCTATCTTGGTCGCACTTTGGGTTCGATTAAACACACAGTTAAGTAATGACAAAGACAAAGGTTTATTCCACAAAACGTAAAAGAAATTATAACAACAATGCTGGAAGCAAGAAAAGCATTTAGAGCACATATATCAGACACGCAGGCGTTTGACAGACAATTAAATAGAGAAATCCTAATCACTTACAGTTTTTTAATGATCTACTATAGTAAATTTGGTCTTAAGAATTTTGCGATATTGAGGTGCACTTAGAACTGTCACAAACACACGCCGACAGCTTCAGGAACTTCACTTCTTTTATATTACCTAGACTGGATCTTGATTACAAGAAAAAAAACAGCTGGCTTGTTGAATTAGATCACAAAATTTGGTGGTTTCTGGACGATAGAGCACTCTTTCTTTTAATTAATGACAAACCTTGTCGAAAAGCAACGCAAAACAATCACACCTTGTATTTATTTGTAAAAACCCACCAGATTTACTTTAAAAAGTAAAGTATTTCATCCACAGGATGGCCCAAGTAATGTAAGACGTGCCCGTAGCTTGAAATTGAAGTTAAACTGGAACTAAACTATGAACCCTAAAAGAAATTATCAATCCTTGATAACTTACATACCTCTTAAATAAGAGGGCTAATCGAAGATAGAGCAACAATTGTCGATGGAAATTGCAGTACAACAGATTACAGCCGAATCCTAAAGAAGGTACACTCTAAATACACGAAATGTAAATGGCGGATCAGAAAGGAAGAAAGCGAATTTAAATCCTCACTAGGTGTACAGGTAAATTCCGTCCACTAATTACTTCGGAGTCCCCAAATTATGAATCAATCGCCCGAGATCAATATATGCGGAAGATGGCAATTAAAATTCCATGCGTTCTACCTTACTCTTTTATTTCTTTATTTAATTGGCATGTATTTCGATACGGCGTATGAGGGAAATAGAAGGCGACAATCAATAACCAACAATCAGGGCGCGAACAATCTGTTCGGTTAAATTCCATTAACAGGTGAAGCCAGTCTTTAAATGGTTTCCAAAAGGTACGGGGATCTTTCAAGAAGTAATACACCATAAACAATAATAATTCTTTGTAATGTAGAAAATAAGTCTTTACAAGATTTTATCCGAAAAATCAGCATAATATACAGGTTGTATCAAATTTTGTGTTAAGTACAGTGATATCGCTTAGAGATTTTGTTAAATGGACAAAAATGATCCTGGAGTTATGCCCAAAGAAAATTAATAAACAATACCCCCTGTCTAAAGTTGCCTAAATATGGCGAAAAATATTATAATTGACGTTTTTGATTTATGGCTTTAAAATCGTTATTTAAAAACTAAAAAGACTTTTTAGGGAACTCTTTCTGTTCTTTTAGATGATGGAAATGAGTCATGTGAAAGAAAAAATCCTGATTTCAAAAATGTATAACGTGTTTATAAAAAAAATCAAAATAAGTACAATCAAAAACGTCAATTATGCTATTTTTCGCCATTTAAGGTTTTTGAGTTGTTTCCGCACTATTACACACACATGTATGCCAAAATATATCACCATTTTATCCTGAAAAGTAACGGCCCATGGTCTCTCTCACTTGCAAATTTAGTATAAAGCTCTACTTTCCCTAACCAGCAGCTTTTTGTAGTCTTCTATCCCAAGCAAATGGAGAGTTTCTCTGTCCATATCGGACGTCGGATCAAATAACAAAATCTGCAAAGATCTCTTCTCCATCCGTTATAGAAGCTGCACTCGTGCGGTAACCGTTTACTTGCGGAAACTCTGTTGACTTTTGGATATCTAGAGAAATCAAATTTTGCATGTGATTCCGTGAGGAACGAAACCTTGTAATAGCAAAAAAACTGTATTCGTTATTTGCTTCCAAGTTTGTAGATCTCGTTAATAAAGATGCTCTACACGTTCGTGTCCATTTTGTAGGTGGTAGGTAACTAAATCGCGCATAATAATGAAGGAAGCTTTACGTGGGGAAACGCGCCGTAAAGGTAAAACGTAATTTTTTGTTTGCAAAGGATTAGAATTTCCAATTTGTAGTACAACCCCCTTTCGCCCTTTGTTAAGCAAAAATGAGATATTCGGAGAAATGAGAAAATGTAATTCAGGAATATGTATACACTTTCAGGGAGGACTGAAAGCGGCAATTTTAGCGGACGTAATGCAGGGATTAACAATGATAGCAGTCAGTGTCGCAATTATAATTCAAGGATGCATCGAAGCGGGTGGTGTCGCGAATGTATTTGAAACAAATATAAATGGAGGACGTTTAAAATTTTTTAAGTAAGTTTTAACAGTGTTCGACGACATTATAATTGCTTTAATTTGTCAAGAAAATCGTGCTAAAACGCCTTTCATTTACTGCAGTGGCTGTAAAAGATTGGGGAGTATTTAATGGGTACTCCCTTTAATGGGCGATAAACGAGTAATTGTTGATCTTGGTTAATGACCTATATTTTAAAATCTGGCAATGCAAGGTTTTAAAGTTTTATTTCAAGAATTACTCTGCCATTTGTCATTCGCTATTTTTGCTAAAAGCGTTTTTTCCACGTAATGCGTTCAATTTTTAAATCTAATTAGTGCTTTTCAGTTTTGATTTGGACCCAACAATTCGTGTCACTACAACGTCTGCATTAATCGGTCAATTATTCATGTCTCTATCGATACTTGGTTGCCAGCAGAATTTTGTGCAGCGTTACTGCAGCATGGGATCACAACGAAAGGTTACAAAGTAAGTATCCGAAAAACTTTGACAATTCCTAAATTTAAGCACATTTTAGGACGTTGATGTATAATATTCCGGTGATTACGATTTTATTTAGCTTATCATGGGTCGTCGGAATGGTAGTGTATGCCGTATATGCAAATTGTGATCCCTATAAAGCCGGATATATAAAAAAGTACGACGAAGTCCTACCTTTTTTTGTCGAAGATCGGTTTAATTACGCACCTGGAATTTTGGGATTGTTTATGGCGTGTTTGTTCAATGGAGCGTTGAGGTGAGTTTAAAGCATAATTCTCTCAACTTCTAAAACATGTTAAAGCGTTCATTCTTTATCCATTAAATCCTATAAAAGGGGAATATGCAAAACAGGAACTAAATAATTTGAGTACATTGATCGCATACATTCAGTATAACCAAAGTTTTCTTGAAAGTTTAAGCGACTGGAAGTAATTCATACTGTTGGGGTGTTACTTTGCGAAACTCCTCTCCCTATACTCAATTTATTTATTAGTACTCTCTTAAATTTATTTCCTGTGTAGTAAACACGTGCTTATGTCTTCTCACATCATTCGCTTTTATTGCAATTTTTTCGAACCGATGGAAGCGCCAGTGTAATTCTGCAACAATTAATTTTATATGCAAATGGGAAATGGACTAAATATTCACATTATACATATAGTAAATGTAAGCCAATTTATTATTTACATTTTGATTCGTGGACATACATAAATTACATGCGGAAGATAGGTATACAGTTCATCAAATCATTACTTTATAGTTTTATTTAATGTAGGTATATTTTGGTTTCATTTCAAATTACCATAGCCAGACACCGCGATCGCAGAATTCGTCAGCAGTGACCATAATCAAATCTTTAATTTCGCTCTCCGTAGGTCGATTCCATTGTAAATATTGATTGTTTACATCCTACTTGGAAATTGTCCAACTTTTACTCGCGTGCTTTAAATAATTCATGTTCAAAGTGCCTGCGCCTCGAACTTTTGTAATCCGTTGTTATTGTATTAAATTTTTCCGTTCTCCAAACTTTGGTCGTATTCATTAAAATTAGAGCAATAAGGGACTAAGGGTTCGAATTTTAAAGATGGCGAGTAGGTACCTACCTGTTATTGATTTTGACTATTATTGATTTTATTAGATACTGCATTTTTCTGCTTCTATACGATAAACCCAAGTAGAAGGGGTTTGCTCAAACATTAAGACTAAAGGCTCTACTAAATTTTTCGGTGATAAATTTATGTTTCATGGGCTAAGATGAAATGAGTAGACGTGGAAGGAAGATGCCTGGTTTAGTAAAAGATCTATTGCTTCTATTACCCACATACACACCTGTCCAGCTAGCTTAATTAATCTCAGGTACTACTTAAAATTTTTGACTAAAATTTTCACAAGGCGCGTGCAGTTCCGCTATTATGAAAAATCTCAGCATTGCACTTTTTATTAATTTGAGAAACTCAGAAGCCTTGATCACTCCACAATTCCGAATAGGTACGAATAGAAAATGTATCATGAGAACTTTTATTATATCCCAGGGCTCTATTAAACACAAAGCTAATAATTACAGAGAAAACCAATTTGTTTGACTAAATCAATCATAAAACTGAAATAAAAATAGGCACTCAGGGTCAAAGGATATACACCACGCAACAAGCGTTTGATTGAAGCAAATTCTATATACCTTAAATTTAATAATCCTTAATATTCGGTCAAATACCGTACAAAAACCCACCACCAATTGAAGACGATTTCTTCGTAAACGTGAAGAACGCTTAACGCTCAATTTGAATTATAACATTCACATTTAGCGAAGAATTTATAACTCAGACTTTTATAATACCAAAGACTGACTGTCACTACCCCACCCACACAACACCTATCTACCTAGCTTAAAATAACTAAAGTCACTTACAAAAGCAATTAACATGAAGCATGAAAATCCAGGGTCGTAACTTGGGCCCAATAAACACACAATCAAACATTCATTAATAAACAATTAAAGCTGCTGCAAATAAATAAAGGCATACAGAGCTGAGACAAAGTACCACGCACCAATGCGATCGAGTCAATCAGGTTAAGTAAAGTCTTAATATACCTTTATACTGTCAATAATCCGAAAACGCACAACTCACAATCACAATCAAACGCTATATTTAAGTCACCCATCTACCAATAAATGCAAACATTCAAATAGTACTCATGTGTCGGAAATCCTATAGATGGTAGTGTATTCATTGAAAACGAAAGAGAGCTATTGTCGAGGAGCGAGAACGTTCGAACACGTCACTTTTAGGTTTATGGGTCGTATCATTTACGATAAAACTTACGCACTAATATTTGCATCCCTTATCTATATATTACACCATTGTAGATACCTCTCTTCCCCGAATATGTTACCGTAATATTTATTAGTATGTTTGATCATGTTTCTACATTGAAGCTGCAAACACTCCCTGTTTGACATCACGTAAATTATATTCTGAAGACAAATAGGGTTAAGAAAAATAAAAGGTTTTAGCGCTTAAAATATACTTTGCCGTTTCGAAAGTTCTTCAAACAGTCGAGTGCGGGAGAGACATAATATTTATTTACGCCAGCGTACAAAGTATAAAGGTTGGATGTGAATTTTAAGGTATAGGGTGTAGACATAAGACACATTTTAGAAGACTTGATAACTTTGAATTTGTTTCCACGGTACAAATATTAAACGTCGACGTCTTATTGTTGTGTTCCGCACACTTTGGAAGACAAAATCTTTTAATAGACTCTCATTAGCCAAGCTCAGCTATTTAAAATAGTACTGTTAAGGTACACAGAAGCTTGTATTGCATTGTAAGGGGTAGCATCGTAACTCATAATATTTTTAAATCAATGAGCTTCAACAAACTAACGTATTTTAACGTTGAGATTTCAGCAAGATAAGGTAGACGATGGCCTTGATTTCATAAGAATGTCTGCTAAGCAAATTTTACAAGACTGTGATACGTCACGTGGTCAGAAGTAATGTCTGCCCTCAAACACCTCAGAAAAAGGTCTAATATGTCAGTTCCTCCATTCAATTTCAAGTAATGAAAAAATATACCTTTTTAGTTGTAGCGGTCGCTGAGCTCAGGCGGATGAAGCGCTTGTCGTCTCGATTTAAATTTCCACCGTTCTGCTCTCTGGTAGACTTCACGTAGTGGTTTGGCAAGTGAGCCTTCTATACTCCTTTTCCTAATTTTACTTGATTTCTTCCTGATCAAATTACTCTATAAAGACAAATGGACGCTGTCCCGTAAAAAACAACGCAAGCTGGTTAAAATACGTCGCTGGTTTGTGAAAAAAACAGCAGCGGGATTATTCAGTTGTCCATTTACCAAAGGAATGTATGATGTCGACGATGAAACCGAAGTACGTTTTCTTTATTATCACGTTGTTATTTCTCAGCGAACAATATTGATATTGAATTTTTTCCCTTTTATTCACTTTTATAATTCATTCAACCCTTAACTGTAGGACCAACGCGCTTTTTAAATACGCTAATATATAAGGTAAAAAGAAATATGTTTTTTATTTTTTAATATTTTCGTCGTGACCCAGTGACCTATTTCTGGTGTTCACTGCAAAAATGCTTGCTATCAACAGATGTGGAAGTAAGCCAAGGTCGTCGGCACTCGCAGGCGGCGTTGAACTTAACCCAATGTTACAACACTTGTACGTCGAACAGAATCGTATGTAATGTAAAACGTATCCGAAACTTTAATTGGAACTTTAACTTGAACTAGAATTTGAACCCTAAAAGAAATCAAAGGTAACCCCTCTACTTTATATAACATAAAATTTACATACCTCTTAAATAAGAGGGCTAATGGTAGGTGAAGCAACCATTGTCGATAGAAATTGCGGTACAAGAACCTAAAGAAGGTACACTCTAAATAAACGAAATGCAAATGGCGGTACTTACGATAAAATGGGAAGAACGCACTAATTACTTCGGAATCCCCAAATTGTGAATCCAATCACCAGAGATCAATATATTCGGAAGATGACAATTAGACTTCCATGCGTTCTTACACTTTCAGCTGTTTAATTAACCGACGTGTATTTGATACGGTGTAGGAAAATAAATGACAATCAACAACCAAAAATCAAGGCGTTGGGAATCGGCGAGGCAAAATTGTGTGGTTAAGTTTCGTCAATAGATGAGCCATCTATTAAATTGCTTGTTGCGGAGATCTTTCAACAAGTAATAAATCATAATAAAGCTTCGTAATGGAGAAAATATATCGTTACACAATCTTACCTCTTGAATAAGGTCGGTTGCTGGAGAAAACTCTCCTGAAACGAGTCCGAACTTGTAACAAATAAAATTAACGCACCTAAGCTGTATGATACCGTGGTTAACTAATTAATGCCTGAAGGGCCTATTACTTGTGGCCGTAAGCCCAAGATCGCATACATATGCACTAGGCGTAGCAATCAGAAGGATAGCTACCCGCAGATAGCTGCAACAACCGCGGTAGTTAAATTACGGTAAATTACGTTAGTAAGTTACGTTCATCCTAATTACGATTCAAGAAATCATCCCTTTAAGAGGCAGTTAACAATACGCTTTATAACAGCACAAAAAGAAAAGGAAGGCATCCCCTGACTGGTTAAATGCCTCGGGTCAATCCAGTTGGTCGGATGCTTACCTACTCTCCCCAATTTCCATTTGGTCGATGCAGACAAGAATGCTTCAAGATGACCGTTATCTCCCTGATAAGAGCAAAATAAGTACTGTTCTTCATTAAGTTGGTAATTTCGCACGGAAATATTCTGGTAATCTTTACAGCTGGGCTGATATGGTTCAGCGGGGGGTACGAGGAAGAAACATGCTCTACAAATTTACAACGTAAACAACCATCCCTTCGTCCCTAAACGCACATACCTTTAACTACACGAGAAGGCGTAGAAACCAATTAATACGAATACAGATGCTAAAATAATTAAATTACGTCGACTCAACCGTCAAATATTGGATGTCTAAAAAGAAAATTCATCAAGATAACGAAGGAGTTAGCAAAATGACTTCAATTACCACGCATAAAATTCACAACTAATAAGAGTGAATCATCAAAGATAGGGAAGTAAAAGTTCAATCCAGCTCAAAGGAATTAACACGCCATAGGCTTCAGACCAATGTGCCGAACGAAAAGATAGCGGAAAAAGAAGGAATAGAAAGTTACATTTCTTGAGGACGGGAGATGGCGTTGGTTCAACTGTAATAAAGCTAGCGAACCTCAAACAAAGCTCAACCTAAAAATAAACCGTTACATGTTGTTTACACAACCATATCTATTAGCCGTTCTTCTTCGAGTGTCAGCCTTTAGGTTTTCTGCAGATTGGATTATGAACCCAAACCCAAATGAGCAAATAGAAATTCTCTCCCTGGAGTTGAACATTACCAAAACTTCATTAAAAATTCGAATGTTTATGATATTGGACCCTGAAAATGGATGAAGAGGACTCTTGGGTAATTTTTAATGGAGAGGCACAAAGTCTACGTTTTTTGTCTTTTCTTTTTCGGTCTCCGCACGACAGAATTAGAGAGAACCTGCAGAATTTGTAGAATGTTTTCATCTCATTTTCTCCGCTATATAGGAAATTATTTATTTTCTCATTCATTCTGTACCGAGACACACTGGATTGATCTGCGTTTTGGCTAAAGCTAAACGACTGCTAGGAATAAAATGTGAATATCCAACCTATGCCAAAGGGACAACTAGTTGTTTTTGGCAATTACACATCGTAGGTAATTGCCACTTTTTCAGGCAGTTAAGTGGTCATATTATGGATGCCAAAAAAAATAGTGATAACTCGTTGTAACACATTGGCAGAAAAAGTGATGACTATAACAAGTTTGTTTGAAGGTGATGTCCAGACACCTTTTTATTACTTTGTGCTGTACGTTGACGATTTAGTGTCTAACTTCCTAGTAAATCATGTTGGCAGCACAATGAAATATGTTACATTCGGGTAACGCGACACGTATCTAATATTGATTTCATTGATATTTTAGCATCTTCGTTGGAATGTCAAATTTGCTTGATGACTGTTCGTGACAATGTTCTGTACGACAGGTAGGAAAATCCACGGCAAGCGTTGTTGAATAGCGTTCATTTACATTACTATATATTTTAGTACATGTAGCCCCTGTAGGTAATGCTATTTAAATAATATATTGTCGATTTTCATCCCAGAAATAAATATAAATGAATTTGTTTAACCACCTTTGCTTCCAATAATAGCAAAATTAGATGTTATAACCGAAAAAAGTTTTATAAGGAAGCTTTATGTACTTTCGCCTACAATAAGGTACCATTTGCAGAACATAAATTTCCATAATAATAATTTCTTGTTGAGGCAAACTTAATTCAACTTTTTAAACGAAATTGGAAGCGGAACACGTTAATGAACCGTTCCGGAATGTTCTTAAAAGTATCAACGTCTTTAGTGTACCGCGCTTACTAATGTCAATAAAGGTCTATAGTGCCGACACAACAACATTCAGCGTTGCAAATCAACCAAGATTTCATTTTGTTGCAGAGCTACACTAAATTAACTTTTTCAATATAAAATTCCTCTAGAGTAGGCAATGGATGAAGTGAGAAAAAGCGAAGACGAATAAAATATACTGTAAGTCCTGTTGACTAACATCCTTTCTTTGCAGTTTGAATGTATCTAATTTGAATTCCTTGGCAACCGTCACTTTCGAGGATTTCTTAAAGCCAATCCCTCGTCTGAAAGCCATGAAGGACATACATCAGCTGTACGTTATCAAAGCGATTGGCGTTGTATATGGATTCGTTATCATGGGAATTAGTTTTGGAGTGGGTCTCCTATCGGGCGTTATTGAATCGTCTATGCTGGTCACTTCGGCAACTTCGGGGCCGCTTCTAGGAGTCTTCTTTTTAGCTATGTTGGTCCCTTGTTGTAACTGGAAGGTAAGTAATTCAAGCTAATGCAATACGCTAAAATCGATTGGGATTTCGCGGATGTACTACGGAAACGTATACCTACTATACTTCTAACCGCGCCGTCAATTCCATTTATATACGGTTTGGTGCTCAAATAATTCAAATAAAAATTATTATATTCCAATAATGTAAAGTCAAGTTGATTTTATCGCTTCAAATATTATACAAACGCTTTTACGGCGAAATCTTTGTAAGTTACGTTTCAATAATTTTATTGAAGGGAACGTTTCAAATGTTTACCGTTAGCTGAGGCTATATTATATCTGGAAGCAATTAGTTGCCATCCGAACTGGATTATTGGACGTAATCCTGCAATTTTGTTACTCTGAGGAAGCGACTGATATAGGTTTATTGCTGCATTTCATTGTAATTGATTTGAACTTGTCGAATATGAGAGTGTACCTACATCAGACGTTTGAATACGAATTGTAGAAAAACGTATTCAATCAGATTGACGTGCTTTTCGAGATAAACATTCGCAATAACTAACATATTGGTACACGACAAATAAAGCAACCACAAGATGAACTGCTACTTATTTTACGTTAAAACCCGAATGTCAAGATTTGCATGTGTCGTTTGATGCCTTGAATTGTTTTAAAGCAAATGCCATCATCGGAATTAATAACGTGCCTTGCATCTGACAAGATAACCATTACTGTCTTCGAAATGTTATTGGAAAGCTTCTGACGATTTTCTCAAAAACCATCTAATAAATGCTAATAAAAAGTGAAAATGGAAGTTAGTTCTGGCGAAATTCATTAATCGGTATTGAGGAGCCAATTGAGTCGCTTCATTCATATCAATTTTTTGTAGTTGATGTTATCGGATTGGATCGGTCTAAGCAGAAATCATCCGTTTATTACGATCCATTGCAGGGTTTTTTTTACTTCCGCGGCCATTATCTTCTGTAATTTGTTATAATAGGGCGAATTAATATCTCACTTAATTGAGGCAATAGATTACTTGAAAAACAGCATTTTTAACGGCAGACTGTGTTAATGCCAAAAGCTGTGCAGTAAAAAGCTTTTGCACCGAAATGGGTTCGTGCTAAAAGTCCTCCCTTGTAATTATCCCAACAGTCTTCGAACTAAAAAGTGAAAGAGTCATATTTTATTTAGAAGGAACAAGATGACTTGTAGTTACATTAAGCCTTTTTGTAAATGTGCAATACTGGAATAAGGAATTAAAAGAAAACTCCTTTAATACATTTTCAACATTTTGTGGAAGTATCGAGGATTTTCCACTAGAAGAGATATAGAGTTTATCAAGCATCTGACAAACAAATAAATGTTTAGCTGGGCGCTGGAACTTTAGGATAACTTGCGAAGTATATGAGGAAAACTATAGGAACTTGAGGAGGAAACGTAACTTAAGATTTACTTGAAGAAACTATAGGAAGTTTAAGGGAGTTTAAGAAGAAACAGATATAAACTTGACAGATTATTGTGAAAATGAAATGCGGATTTCGTCTGACGATACCAGGGCAAGTTTAAAATAAAATAACGAACTCTTAAATATCCATTATCACTATTCTATTTTAAAATATTTTACGTACGTACTACAACAAATATATATAAATATTTAAATTTTTGAACTGACTACTTCTTATCCCTCGGTATGTTTTGGACGGGAGTAAAATCTTCTCACGCGCAATTCTCGGTAGTCGAAGACAAGCTCGTCCCCCTCGCTTGGCTCACAATTGTAATTATTATTAGTAATGTAAAATACGCAATTATTGTACACTACAGAAAGACTATTGTTTATTACTGTTTGTTTTGCTATATTTGATACACCTTTCAATTCCGTTATATGATAGAGAGCTCTTCTTTTTGAATATCTTTAGTGCAACTGTCTATTTGCAAACTCCACGTCCGGAAAGTGGTCCAATTTGCATTTGTGCTTTTCATAAAAACATTGCGGTAATTATTTGACAGTAGAACACTTTTACAACACTCTCCTTGTAATCTTCTGCATGTTTCTTGCGCAGATTAAATCCATAATCTTCTAAAAACGTTGCCAATTCGTTTGATTCGGTCGGGTTGTAGTGTGTAAAGCGTTGCGACGACCCGGAACAGATTATTCGCGTAAATTGTAACCACTAAAGAAAGAACTGGCACTTTGTCACACTTTAGAAAAACTAAGAATGCTTTGGATAATAAATAAACACACCAATTTATAGGATCTTACGTTCGAAGTTATGCTGCGAATATTTTCAGCTACCCGATAAAATTTCACGAATTAATTGTACTCTCTCGAAGTCCAATTGCAAATCTTCGAAATTACGCGAATGAATTGTATCGTTGCAAAATTGTACGTGCTTGCTGTCGAAGCCAAGCTGTGAGTGCCCACTCTTTCGTTTCGTGAGCTGTTTGTATTTCGCCCCCTAGAAAAACCGAAACGACACATTCGTGAAGTCGCAGAGTTCTCCGTTTTTTTTTACATGGACATCCATATACGCGAAAGCCCCCCTCTACTCCACCTCACTGTCGCAGCGGTTTTTGGACCTGAAAGTACGGTCAAACTAGTCCTACCAAACACAGCCTGCGTTTTACTCGAAATGCGCGCCTTTTCTCCAGACATACTTTCAGTCAAGTTTACTATGAAGAGGTATATGTGCAAATTCCTCTATGTTGAACGAAATCCAAATTCGAATAAATATTTTTTAAAACTGCAAAGCCGCCAACCGTTACAAGGTTCAATATGGTGTGAAATTTTCTTAAAGAATACCACACGTGCTTAAATTATTATGAGAATTTTTTCTTGTTCACAAATATTTTACGCAAATTAACCCTACAAGTGAAAATTATTGTACAAGCAGAAATTCCCAATTCTACCAAAGTAATTTGATACGTAATATTCAAAATTGCTGCATAGTAGAATATGCAAATCACCTCAATAATTTTTCTACATTCCTTATGTCGCCACATTTTTTCTTATTAGTGGATACACTCCCGTATGGTTAAATTTGCAAAATGTCTATAATGATGTACGCTACGTAAACAGGGATAAGTTAATGTTCTTTTTTTATTTCAAGGGTGCAGCAATAGGAATGATTACTTCTCATATTTTGACACTTTGGATAACATTTGGAGGACTCACCATTGACAAACCAATCGTCGTTATGCCTCTATCGACGGAGGGCTGCAACAACAGCTCTTTTAATCCGCATATCCTGAGGGCGGATATCCCTTTTCCTATAACAACAACCCAGCCGCCAACCACCGTCACCTACAGCAGTTTAAACATCACTCGAGCGGAAACATCGTAAGTGTATTTTTATTATTACCACGTCCATACTAACCACAAAGTTAGGACGTTCTGAAACAGGGTTGATATTGCTCAACTTTTCAGGGTACGTAACGTAATTTGTTCATTTTTTACGACCATTACACGACAATCGTGTGGCAAATGAAATTCCTCGTCAAACCACCGACACAAGAATCATAAAAATATCGCTTTGACCCATTTAATTATGCGACCCTTTTTGTCTTTTCGAAGCAAATGAAGTTAGTTTGTACTCTTTACACGAGTGAATTATAACTACATAAAACAAAAACATGGGGTTTTATGCCGCCTTTTATATGTAGATGTGACTGCGTTGTGCATTTTATCCTTTAATATCATAACAGTAGCTATTTGAGCAATTAGATTGGTGAATTGATTGTGTCCGTTAATTCTCAGAAGAGAATTGCTCAGCGAACGAATTAGTCACTCGTATTTACCCCTGTTTAAGTGTAAATCAATTGTATATTTTTAATAATACCATTTTTCAACAAAAAAAATAATATCGAATGTACGAAGGTTAACGTCTTTTAAATTCAAATCGTGCTCTCATACACGTACAGGGTGCCGACGCGACGATTGCTTTTTAATGCCCAAGAGGCATACATGTGATTATGTGTACCGCTCAATATACCTAGATTGTTTCTTATTAATTCAGCATAACTGTCACCTTTATATTACGTACAGTTGCCAGTATAACGCCGACTAACACACACGTTAGCATATGGATGGCACCCGTGGGGGTGTTTTGCGTATAAACGCCCTGCTTGCGATGCTCAGTTATTACACGCATAGTTGACCATAATATTCTCCACTCGAGTAATTATTCACACGAATTTCAGTTGCACTCATACTAACAAGGCCTTTGGTTAAGCGATGACCTGTTATTGAAATGGCAAAACACAGTTACATTGGTACACCTAGTACCGTCTAAGCAAATTATTTTAAACAGTAAAATCGAAAATTCAAATGGGATATTTTTTTCTGTTCGTCCCTGTCCATCCGCTTGCTGTGCCACTATCCGATTTCTTGATTCAAACGTTTTTAGGAACGGTTGCAGCAGATATCATACTATTGCCGTTTATTACACTCCTCACTACGTACCCCTATTACAATTTTATTTTGGAAGCTTCTCTGGGCCACTGATGACACAACCTGCTGTGGCAAAGCTCAAATACCTAAAAGAGGAAGTCTTCAGAAGTCCTCAAGAACAGCTCCGATTTGGTTGATTTTTTAAATTTGGGTTTTTTATTAATATTTAATACCAAAAGCCCGAGCAAAAGCCTTTCAGAGTAGGCAATGATTATTGGAATTGTTTAAACAATATGCATCCTTTTTATGCACGAAAATCTTTAGCGCATTTTTTAAAGTAGAAATAAATGTGCTATTGCTTGTGTTTCGTTCGTCTGTCTGTCCGTCCGTCCATCCGGCCGTCTATCCCTCCACCCGGGACCACTTCTGCCATTTTGAACTACTGTCAGGGGAATTGCCCTAGAGTCCTGGAATTGTATGCAATAGGGAGCCTATACCATGAAGGTGTGCCAGACGGCCTTCAGATTTTGTCTCAGAAAACAGATGTTTTTTATATAATTAGAATAGCAAACATTTTTTTACACAATATAAATAATTATTTCCCCCTTCTCAAATGTTTCTGATTTTAAACAATATAAAGAAATTTAAATTTTTAAAAAAGACTAATCAAAATCGGAGCTGTTTCCGAGGGCTTCCAGAGAAAAACCTTTATTGACGCGACTAACTAGAGTTTTTAATATGACAGATTGATTTCTTTACTTCTGTTGAGTTTGATTTTAAGTTTACTTGACATAGGTCACTAATTTTACATTAAGTTTGAATCGTCGTAAAATTCCATAAGCAAATCCTTCAATTTAACATATGTAACACAGTCCAAAAATGATAATTTATAATTTGTAACAAATGAATTAAGAATTAAAAAAAATTAATGCAAATGAATGTAAACAACATCAAATTCGCAACAGAGCAGAATTTTTGGCGGAACTACCAAATTGTTGATTACTTTAAGTAGGCTAAGTAAGTACTAAGTAATAATCACCAGTGGAGGTTTAAAAAGGCGATGCCACCATAATTCACTGTCTTGAAGTGATCTCCAGAGATGAGGTCGACTGGGTACTGGTCTGTAGGAACGTGATGGATTTCGTCTTGCTTTAAAATGTTTCGGACTTTTGTGACTCTATTTGCTACGTCCAGTTTTGTAAAAGAATGCCAATCTGGTAAACTGTGTCGTTGTTATCTTGACCACTGGATTGCAATCCACGCAAATGACCTTTGAATCCATCGATGACCCTTTTAATTTCTATAGCGCTTTCATTTCAAGCTGCTTTCATTTGCAACATGCCCTACAAGTTTAAATCTGCCGTCTTCCGCTTATTCTCTTATTCTTTTTTTGCTGATTTGCATACGACGCGGTAATTGTTAGCTGCGACAGGAAATAATCTAGGAAATAATTCCCTTGCCCTTCCCTGTGCTAGGTGCTGCAGAGTTGTAATCTTTTGAATATTTCTATGGTGAAAAGGATATCCACTTTAAACAAAATTACGTCTGAAACAATTAAGGAGAAAATGCATGTGGTGAAGTCTTTCGATGCTGCAAGCTGGTAGGTTTGACAATAGAAAATGCAGAACATGGTACATTGCAATTTTAATTTTTATCAAATTCATTATTTGCTTGTGCTTATTTCTTTTATTAATAAACGTAGCGGTCGGTCAAAACCCTGTACTAAAAAAAAGCATAGTACGTAGTTGCGTACAAAAATATGCCAAGGAAAATCAACAGTATGAAATCATTACAAAGTTACTGCTGCACAGTAATTAAGTTTATACCCCAATAAATATTTAACAGCTTTACACATTCCGCAGAAAGTGCATAGCGATTATATTTGCAATAATTTGCATATTAAGTAGCCACCCCGATTAGCATAACTCACATCCTCGCCCAAAAACTTCAATTTTATACAGATTAAGTTATCTCAACTAACGCTTGTTATACTTAGGACGGATTTGGAAACTGAGACAAAGACTAAAATAACACTCATCTCAGCAGCCATTCAGCTTTAGTAAAACCCTATTGCAGCGAAAATTTAATCATTTAATGCAACGCCACGGTTTATAATTAATTGGTGTCAATTTACAGAGACCCCTTAACGGACCTTTATTCGATAACCTACATGTACTACTCCTTTATCGGCTGTATAATAACGGTGGTGATCGGATGCACGTTCTCCTGCATTACCAACGTCAGCGAGGACGAACTCTACACGAAAAACTTGATACACCCCATCGCGCAGAAGATCGCAAGCTGGTGTCCCGGCGCCAACCGTCGCTATTTGGAGGACAGAAAGCTTTCCATTATTGAGGAAAACGCGCCACAGATGGCGAAGGAGGCTCGAAAGAAAGAGTCTACGAATGGAACAACGAACGTCGCTTTCGCGGACGAATTTGCGGATAATGTAGTTTGTAGAACAAAGTTGTGATATCGTCGAAGTATTATTTTTTTATACCATTTCATTTTGTTTTTATAGATTTAGTACCTCTACTGTGATCTCTAGCGCGTATGACTGGTAATCTGTGTAAATAGTTGCACAATTCAGTTAATATTTGTAGATGAGACCTCTCTTATACATATTTACGTTATGTATATTTAGCATATAAGTGACTTTGGTTTTAATACTCAATTATTTAACTGAAAAAAGGCAGTATTGGTGCTGATATACTTACCGAATTCGTGTTTGTAACGTGTGCTTATTTATATAAAAGGGAACATCCTAAAGTCATATAAGTTGATATGATAAGTACTTAGATAAATTACCTACATCTTTTTACATTGTTCCAAATAAAGAATACGCTCAAATTTCATTTATTTGTGTTCTCTTAGGTGATACGGAATTTGGACCAGCTTATCTTTGGAAGTTATTCTGAATAAACAGAGAAAATCTCCCAACATTAATTTAAACCTTGTGGTAAATCTCCAAAATAGTACTTTCACCATAGCCAAAATAACGCAAAGGTATAAATTACCTGCTCTTTCATTTTATTTCTTTTCATTCCATTATATGAACATTGGATCATCGGCATATACTCAAAAATACCATCCTCAAAAGTATACAGGGTGAGTTTTTTTTCATTTTAAGCATTGGGATCTCGGAAACCGTAAGACGTAGAGATTCGGTTAAATGAGGAAAGAGTTGTAGTTTAAAGAGCTTATTCAAGATATGCTTTTGTTTTTAAAAAAAAATCAATGACATTTTTAAAAAGTGCATTTTTTTCTGTTTACAATAATATGATTCATTGTACTTACTTTGACAAATAAATATGATCATTGAATAATTATTATTCAATGGTATTATTAAGAGTAGTAAAAACAGATTTTGCCATGGGAGACATTTTTGTTCTCTTAATTACTGTCTATTACAAAACTTGCAGTTAGTTGTGCGGCGGGGCACCGTTGTGTTGAAACCAGCGTAAATTACGTCGTGTTTCCAAATCTAGCCCATCCTACATAATATGTAAGATATTATCTTGAAATTCATTTGGTAGAAAATGAAGATAACATTGGCCTGTCCAATATTCGTGGTAAATGAAAGGTATCTATCTCACTAGAAATTGTTTTCCATGGCCAACTCTGTTTAGTTACCTCTCAATAATACGAAAATTACTGTAGGGCGTTTATTTATTATAGTATATTAAGTATGGAGAACGGTAAGGGATTTTTACCGTTCGAAGACAATTGTTTGGAGGAGGAGCGAAGCGACGACTCCAATTATTGTCTGAGAACGGTTTACGACTCCTCTAACCCTTAACGTTCGACGTGCTTATAACATTTTTTGCGCGATCGAAATTAAAATTATCCAACCAATATAAATATGCACTAAGAAATTAACGAGCAGAATAAATCGAAATAATCGAAGTGGTTTGGTGTACATCACTAGGTAACCAGTTGAAATGTCAAAATTGAAAGTAATAATTTCATAAAAATGTGCATGTGTCTGATGTAGTTTACTAGCTTTGCATTTCCTTTATGACTTTATGAGCGTCTTGCTATAGGAAACAACAGCACAAATTGTACGTTTAATGTACCTAACAATAATTAAAGATTAAATGTAATATAAGACTGTTGATTTTTAAAAAGGCGTCGGTAAGTATTTTTGCTGTTCTGTTTTTAGATCGGTAAGTAATTTTGGCGTCGTCGTAATCATAGCAACTGGTAAATTCTACGTACTGTCATAGAAACATCCATGGTAAATAGTCAGAAATGACCGATCGCGCAAAAAAGTACATTTAGCAAGCCTTATATCGTTATAAAGAGAAAAATTTGTCCTTTTTAAAAATGTCAAAGCAAACTATGACTACCATTTAAAAAAATTAAAGTTTGTATTATAACTCAAAAATTGTAAGATCTAAAAATAAATTAGTATGTTCATCATGTTAAGGATTAAAATGTCTAAAACTTTCATTCGTGTCATTTTGTTGTATTTCTAATAATAACGATTCTGCAACAGTTAAATGAAAAATCACTAAATCCGTTTTTCGTTCATATCTAGTGAACTGTGGATTTAAAAAAAAAACAAAAGCATATCTTAAATGCTCTTTTTTCTTATTACACTAAATAATTGCGCGTTAACTATTATGTATTGTCCTGTAATTGGAATATCTGTTCTTTTGGGCAATAAATCTCTATTATTATTATTAAAAAAAAAAGCGACAACTCTTTCCTCATTTAACCGAATCCGTATGTCTTATGGTTTTCGAGATCCCAATGCTTAGAATGAAAAAAAACTCTCCCTGTATATTCTTTCCTCCAATCTTCTCTCCTTGCACTTTTCTTCCTCTCCTCGTTGTGCCTGTCCCAGTTCGTTCCTTCGTTTTAGTTCTGCCTCCATATTATCACCTTGTTCTCTCTACCCTTTTTATACGTACCCGCCTCTTTAGAAACACTTTTTTCTTTGCTACCACCAATTTACTTTTCTCTTCACTCTTGTTCACATGCATTCCGGCAATATTTCGCGTTCTTTCTTTCTCTCTCTTTGCCTCGCTTTTCCATTCTTGTTTCTTTTTCTATAATATAATTTGATGCTCTTCATTCAGGTCCAATGTCCACTCATAATATCTTCTCAGTACTCCTTACATTCCTCTAATCTCTATATTTCCTTATATACCCTTCTTACCATCACATCATTTTTTTAATCTAACCTCATTTTCATTCCCCATACTTGTCTCGTGATTTCTCCGTTTTCTAATTCGCTTGACCGTTTACTCCCATTTTGTTACCAGCGTCTCTCGATCCTTCCCATCATTTCCTTCATCTGTTTCTCTTCCATTGCTCTTCATCGTTTTCGTATGTCATCTTCTTTCTCTCTAGTACCATTCTTCCACTGGGTCTATTTTTCTATCCATCATTTTCCATACCTTTCATCATCACTTTTCTTTTTCTTTTTGCTCTTTATCCACCAGCGTATGTAGTACACATATACGAGTAAAATAAATTTTACTTCCCTTTCTAACTCCTCATTGGCGCCTTCACAAGGGTTGTAAGACTGATTTTAGTTATTTGGGATATATGCACGCTGTTTTAATACTGGTATTTCTTGTATTTTTGACATCGACATCCGATTCCTAACCACAGTTTTTCCGGTTGAGTTTACTCGAGGCTACCGAGATCGACCCGCCAAAAAGTTGCTACCGCCGACCTCGACCAGGCGTGAGATTTTTCGCTTGGTGGCGCCCGAGTCCGTCCGTCTGTTTCTGGCGTTTCTTGCCGCGTTCCGCCGTCTTCTGTCGACAAGTCAGGTTGCCACCAACTGCCACTGCTGTGTTCGAGGCTGTGTTCAATGAATATAGTTTGTATATTTATTTAATTATTCTTAATTAAACTCCAATTATTGTTCCGGCAATACTCTTTAATTTCCTCTCTAACCATGTTTTCATTTCAGTGATTAAATAGGTTTCTCTTATTTCAGGTTCCTGAGTACTATTGCTGTTAGACGATGCAGCTACTTTTGCAAATGTGACCTGACTGCTAACCGCAAACAATAATAATAATAATATCGTAAACCATTTCAATATTAATGTGCCAATTCCAAAGAAAGGATTTTGGTTAATTATGAAATCTTGTTAACGTTACCATTGTTGCGGTCATTATATAATTGGGTTATAGATTCTCGTGTAACAATGGCTATTCAAAAATTCCCAGAAGAATCAATTGGGAAATTATTACCTACTTCCCAAATCCCAATCCAAGCAATATATGAAAATTGTACAATTGCTATAACGCATGACGCAAGTACCACCTGTAACCAGCATTCACTCATGTAAACCCATAAATTATTAATTTGGCATTTCATCGTTTACTGTGACTTTTTAACAACAAGTAATGCAAATGGTTACCAATAACAGGAGACAGTTTAAATCTTTCTATAGCTATTTTCAGGATATGTTTCGTGAAAAAGACGTAAAAAGCGTAGGTTTAGTTTATAAAGCGGATTGTGGCAATAGCGAGTGCAACATTTTTCGATTAGGAAGTAAATTGTGAGATCGCTGGATCAGGGCTGGACGAATTTGAACGTGCCCAATTCTTCTAAACGCCTATTAGTGTCAACTTAATTAGAAGTAAGTTTTACATTCGACCTTAACACTATTTCTACGAAACTTTATTAGTCGAGTCCTTGTAAGGTTGCTGATAGCTGTATGTAGTAATGGAAAGATATCAGCTCGACGCTATCTATATACGGTAATTTATTGTTAAGTAATGTGGAATATGTGTATATATTTAATTAATAGTTTCTTTAAATAATTTTACGATTTACTGTACAACATAATCAGTTTTGTATTGTACTAATCATATGCAGTTATTTCAAGTATTTCGTAATAATGATTGTTATTGCGAGCGAGTGGATATAGAAATTCTATTAATTAAAAACATTTTCTACTATTGTTGCTATTTCGTATTTTTGCATTTATTTGTGGGGCGGATGCAGAGTGGAATTTATAAAAGATGAGTTCTTTGCCACTATGTTTTTATTAGGTACTTCTGAAAACAACCCAAAGTTGATATAAGCTTAAAATTACAGGCAGGGTAAATCCCAACGATTATCTTTCCCAACACAGCCAAATTCAAATCTATCAAAATGCCAACTTTGAATTGAACAGTAGGTAAGTATAATCAAAGTGTCTCACTTTGATTAAGGATGTGTGTTTTTTATAGTTGTGGCATTTTAGAAGTGAATCGCTTTAACATTTAATATGTAAGTAAGCCTCTTACTACAAATAATTACAATGATATTACATCTTTGTGAATTGTAATTATGTAAATTATTTCGACATTTCTGAAGAGTGCTACTTAATCAATGAATATGTATATGCATGTTTTACCCACTAATAATCATTGCATTATTATACCGTTACGCATTGTAGAAGGTAATAATTAACTGACGCGCCGCACCAATTTTAAAATTCAGTGCAAAAGTTGTTGCTTCAGGGTAGATGCACGTTTCAACGCGACGATTGCTGAACCTATTAAAAACAAGAAGAAATCTGCCAAACAAGCTTCGCCAAGTGCCGGTGGAACACGTTTTTGGTGCCTACTGCTTTACTAATTAACCTTATAATTGCGGTAGTGATTTAATGAGTTCGTATATACGTGAAATGCATGATAATGTTTTTTCTTTGAAGCGAAAACATTCTCTTTTTCCTTCAATTTGAATTATTTAAATTATTTCATTTGTTTAATTTTACCCTCCAATCTCAATTTTTAAGTCTCAACGGTTCGCCATCAGGGGCCCCGACCCAAATGAAATATCGGTTCCGGTTTTGTTTATATTTAAGAAAAAGTACCTATTTAACTATAACGGTTCTGGTCC